TAATCTGTTCCGGCCAAAGGAAAAAATCATACACACAAAAAAATAAAAATAAAACATTGCAAGTCCCTGCGGCTGCAAAAAACAAACAAAAAAATCCAAAAGTTTGCTGCGGAGGCTTCCCAGGCTTCCAAAGCACTGGCACCCGGTATGGTGGTCATGGCGGCTTTGGAAACCCAGGAAGCTGGCACTCCTGTGGTGGCAAAGGCAGCGGGGACAGGAGGCAGAGGGCACCGGGGGCAGCTTTGAATTTCCTGCCCTTTCCCCATGCCTTTTTCCTTTCGTAGGTCAAAGCCGCAAGTCAAACCATAATTTTACGGCCAGAGCTTTTCGTAACTCGAAATGTTCATAAGTAGGGACGTTCGTAAGTCGAGGCCTCACTGTATTGAGAAAGCAAAAACCCTGGGCTTTTTCTTATGGAGAAGCCAAACGCAAATATTCATATGCGAATAACCGAAACAAGTGGGAAGCCTGAAGAAGTTAAGACAGAAAGATAACCCCCCAAAAAGGGATATCCCTCTCCTTCTTGGTTTTACAAGTACCTACTGGCTGATCATTGGGCGTTCTTAGGCTTTATTTCCTTCCTCTATCTTCTCCACTAAGTAGTGGTTCCTGTACTTGGAAGAGGCCATCATCTTGCTCTTTCGCTTGGGAAAGGCATCCTAAGTCACGGCTCTTCCAAACATAGCATTTGTCCCCCCCTCCTGCCTCTTTCTTCTGATGCTTGGTACCAAAGAAGCACAGGACCTACCGAGATATGCTGCCAAATATCTCTTTCAAACCCCACGACTCTTTTCTTTTTTTAAAAAAAAAAAACTGTGCTTCTTTAAAACACCTTTAAGAAATCTTTTAAGAAGTCCAGTCCACTGCTGGAGCTTCTCTGTTGGAACAATTTTTAACCCTTCTTTTTCCCCAGCATTGATTAAAACCAGCGGTTCTCTCTGCAAACATGAACGGCAAACAGGGAGTGCTAAATTTCCTCGCTGATACAAGCTGGGACTAAAAATAAACCACGCTGTCAGGAACAACAAAAAAGAGTGAAGCACCGGGCAAAGCAAAACTTTGGAACTCCCTGCCACAGGGGGCCAGGCTGGCCTCCATCTCTGCTGTCTTTCCGCAAATAGACAAAGACCTTTCTCTTCAGGCAAGCTTTCCCTGAGTGACTGGCTGCCCAAGTGGGGTTCTTAAATGGATTGTCCCTGGGTTCTTTTTAAGGAAAAAAGGTGAGGTAAAACATACTCTAAATAAATCAAATAAATAAATAGAATGAGGAGATACCAGGAAAAAAGTCAGTACCATTGATGCAGAACCTGGAACACTGAGGAGAA